CCGCGCATTAAAAAACTTGAAGAACTACAGGAGCCAAGCACCGCTATTATCAAAACCGCTCCCTGGAGAGGTACTACTGCTATACCTTTCGGTATCCAACACTGCCGTTAGCTCAGTGTTAATACGGAAGCCAGAGAAAGCAGAGCTACCGATTTTCTATGTCAGCAAGGCACTCCAGAGCGCGGAGCTTCGGTACCCACCCTTAGAGCAGCTAGCACTGGCCCTGGTTGTCTCGGTGCGAAGGCTTCGCCCATACTTCCAGGTGCACGAGACCACTGTTCTGACAAACCAGCCCCTTCGGCAGGTACTCCAAAAGCCAGAAACGTCGGGCCGATTGGTCAAATGGGCAATCGAGTTGGGAGAGTTTGACATACAGTTCAAGCCGAGGCCTGCGGAAAAAGGCCAAGCCGTTGCTGACTTCATCTCCGAGCTCACACCTCCTGCGCTATCGGAACCATCATCACCGAACGCCATCCTTACTACACCGGAGAAAATGGATACCGAACGTTTCGACCCTTCCGTTCCTCTCTGGATCCTGCATGTGGACGGCTCGGCAAACCAGCAAGGCTGTGGTGCCGGCTTGGTGTTAACCACTCCGGATGGTAGCAAAGTCGAGTATTCCCTCCGATTCAACTTCTGGACCTCCAATAACGAGGCAGAGTATGAGGCCCTCTTGGTTGGCCTTCGGCTAGCCAAGAGCATGAGCGCAAGGCAGATCAGCATTCACAGTGACTCCCAGCTCATAGTGAATCAGATAACGGCAGACTTCGCAGCGAAGGATGACTCTATGTCAACCTACCTATCGGCAGCTCACCAACTACTACAAAAATTTCAGGCCTACGAGATACGGCAGATTCCCAGGTCAGAAAACAGCCACGCCGATGCCCTTTCACGATTAGCTTCGGCAATAAATGACAAGATCGGAAGGAAGGTACCGGTGGAGATATTATCCCAACCAAGCACGACTGCCGCTGAGGTGTGTACCGTTCGGTACGAGGACACATGGATGTCTCCAATCTATGCCTTCCTGACAACCGGCACCCATCCCACCGATAAGTCCCAAGCTCGGAAACTCCGTTACCGATCGGCAAGATACACAGTCATCAACGATGTTCTATCCAAGCAAGGCTACATGACGCCGTATCTAAAATGCCTTACGAAGGAGCAGGGGGACTACATCCTTCGGGAGGTCCACAGCGGAGTCTGCGGTGACCATTCCGGATCCCGATCGCTCGCACACAAAGTCTTCCGACAGAGGTACTTCTGGCCGACTCTGCACCAAGACGCGAACATATTGGTTAGGAAGTGTGACAAATGCAAGCGATTCGGTAGTGTCCCTCATATTCCTGCCGAGCCGCTATCACCGATCGTGAGCCCATGGCCGTTCGCCCAATGGGGATTAGATCTAATTGGTCCGATGCCAGAGGGCAAGGGTCAGGTCAAATATGCTGTAGTTGCCGTAGACTACTTCACCAAATGGGTAGAAGCCAAAGCCTTAGCAACCATAACGGTAGCCAGAATCGAAGATTTCTTCTGGACGAACGTTTGCTGCCGATTCGGCATCCCCTACGCCATCGTCACGGATAACGGCAGGCCGCTTGATTCGGAAGTCTTCAGAGAATTCTGTACCCGACTCAAGATCAACCTGTTCTTTGCTTCGCCAGCCCACCCCCAATCAAACGGACAGGTCGAAGCAATGAATAAGATTGTCAAGAAGCTATTGAAACGGCAGCTTGGCAAAGCCAAAGGAGCCTGGCCGGAAAAACTTCCGGAGGCATTGTGGGCCGTCCGGACATCCTACCGAACGGCAACTGGGGAAACACCATTCTCCATGGCTTTCGACTCTGAAGCGGTAGTCCCAGTAGAAATCGGAGAGCCTTCCTACCGAACGGAAACTTTCGCACCGAAACCGAATGAGGAAGCGCTCGCCTTGAGCCTCGACCTGCTCGAAGAACGCTGAGCACAGGCCAACCTTCGGAACGAAGCTTACAAGAAACGCGTCTCTCGATACTATGACTCCAGGGTCAGGTCCCGCTCTTTCCGAATCGGAGATTGGGTCATTTGAAAAGTCTCTTTGGCAACCAAGAATCCCACGGAAGGAACCCTCGGACCTTCCTGGGAGGGACCCTATGAAATCATCGGTATCCAGCAATAGGGGACTTATCGACTCAGAGACTTCAACGGAAAGACCCTCGGTCATTCTTGGAATGTAGAGCATTTGAAATACTATTTTAAATGAAGTCACCTAGCCCACGGCAGGGTTACGGCGGAGTCCCAAAAGCCTTCGGCGTCTCTACGTACACAGCCTTCGGCAGTGTAGCGTTCCCTAGCCTACGGCGGGTTCTAAATTGTAAAACGCACTCCAAATTGTACCTTTGCCTTCGGCAATTTATCAATGAAAGGGTCTTCGGCTCATATATTCAAAACCTTTGTTGCACCCTTTAAACTCTTTTTATTTTTTGTTAAAAAAAAAAAAGATACGGTAGGGACCATCGGTCGCAGTAAACTACGCATTTTGGCATCGCCATTATCCTACCGATGGAAGGATAACTTGAAAAGCCTTTATAAGCCTTCGGTATTTAAAGGCCGTTGCTTAGCCTTCGGCAAGTACGTCTGTTGGTTTCATTTCCTTACTGTTTGAACTTTTGCTTGAAAGGTAACTTTATTGGCCAACGGCCAGTGACCCTTTTTTGAGAGCCCTCGGCATTAAGAAGAAAAAATCATACCAATCCAAAAGTAAGATACAATCAAGTTAAAAATAAAACACAACTTCGATTAAAATATGCCCACGGCATCAAAGGTTCAGTCAAAGATGCCCACGGCATCAAGATTACATCAAAATTACATGAAAAAAAAATGCCCTCGGCATTAAGTTACATAAGATAATGGCTTTTGGAGAAGATCGTCACTCTGCCGTTCGAGATAGGACTATACCTTTGAGTATCATTGCAGAGCGTACGAGGCCTTCTGTCAGGCGGCGGGCTCATCGGCTTTGGCAGCAACCCCATCGGTTTCGGCAGTACCCCCTTCGGGATCGGCTGGGGCCTCTTCTGTAATGTCCTCTCCCTCGTACTCCTCGACCATTTCTTCGGTTATACCTTCAGGAAGAGGGGGAGGATCGGCAATGAAGTTGAGGTTGAGCTTTTTCCCAGGGTTGTACCGCTTGAAACGGTAGAGTAGGTCCGCCATTTCCAAGCCTACTTCCTTGTCCAGCAAAGTGCAAAACTCAGTAGACTGACGGTAGCCCCGTATCGCCTCCTGAACGGCAGCCTCGACCTCGGACGCCCTGACCCGCTCGGACTCCTCAAAAGCCACCTGGATCGCCTCCTTCGACTCCAGAGCCTCCTTTGCCGTCAGCTGCGCCGACTCCAAGGCTGCCGACATCTCGCCGAGCTTGGCTTGATAAACTTTTACCTGCCGTTCGGCAGCCTGCATGTCCTTCGCCAAGTTCGCCTGAGCTTGAATGGCTTTGCCGGCCTCGGCAACCTTCGCCCTGCCGTCTTCATATGCCTTCTTCGCCTTTTCGGCGGCATTAATGGCTCGCTTGACGCAAAGCCACATATCCATTAAAGCCTGAACGGTAAAGAAAAATGTTAGATGGAAAGGGAAACAAACGGCATGAAATTGATAAAATAAACATTAGGCACTTACCGAAGCTTGAAGACGGAAGGCGCAGCCTGCCTCCTCCCAAAGGAGCTTCTTCGGAAGGTCCTCAATCTCGGACAGGTCCATTTGTGAACCGAGGATCATATGGTTCACAAACTGGACCGTCTTCGAAGGACATGCCAGGGTGACAGCTTCGGGAGGGGCCTCGTCGTCCTCGGCAGAGAAGATGGCCCGAGCAGGCTCGGCTTGTCGCCCGTGTTTTGGAGCAGGGTCGGCATCAAGGTCCACCGTGAACGGTCTTTTGCCTGCAGCTTTGGAGGAGGTACCCTCAGCAGGCGTGCCTGGGCTGGGGGACGGACCAGCATCGGCAGCTTCGGCACGCGCCGATTTAGCATTCATCTAGCGATGACGCTCGTTGAGGGTTAGATTATCAGGGTCCACCCCTCCCGAAGACGCCGGTACGGTTCTGGCCTGCCGCCCCTTCTTCTTCCCCTGCATGCCGAGCATGAGGCGCCTCTTCGAGGATTCGTTCATCCTCTTTGCCTCGGCAGCCTTCCTCTCTTCGGTCACTGCGAGAAGTAATCGGTCAGATTCCTATATACAGGGCTGACGAGTATGCTTACTCTCGGTCAAGTATGCTTACTCTCGGCAGGGCTGACGAGTTGAGCTTTGATGAGATTGGCGGTGAAGAGAAACTTCAGATAAACCCTCTTCACGGCAGGGACCTTCAGCCTCACCTTTTCAATCTGCCGGATCTCCGCCTGTGTAGCGCTCGGCTGCTTCAACTTGCCTGCACAAAGGTAAAATGGAATTAACATTACCAAAGGAAAACACGATAGATGCCCTACCGAACGGTAGGATAGCCTACCGGCAATTTGGAACGTGGTGGGAATGTGGAAACGGACGGGATGTCCCGAGGGCGACTCCCAGTCACCGGACAAAAGCACCCGCCGTTTCCTCCACGTCTTCTGGGAGGTTGGCACAGCGTTGACAAAGTGACCACGCTCGGTAGCCTTCAGGCAGTTAGCCTGGACCCAGCCCCCGTGATCGGCACACTTCGACTTCGTGACGCTGTACAGGTGGGAGAACTGCTCATACGAAGGCTCTCCCTCGCCAGCCATGCCGAAGGCTGTGACTACACCCATTAGCGCCACCTAGAAGTTGGGATTGAACTGGCCGGGAGCATAGCCTATCTGCACCAGGATCCTCTGAACGGCGGGCTGCAGAGGGAGCCTCACCCTTTGCAGAAGTACGTCCGTGAAAAAGATGACTTCGCCATCCTTCGGACTGCTTAGAGATTCGGTAGGATTTGGGATCCTCATGCCTATCGAATCTGGTATGAAATACTCAGCACGAAACCTCGCAATCTCCCTCTCGGTGATTCTGTTAGGCTCCAGATAATCTACGCCGAAGACGAGCTCCTTCGGAACCCCCATCGGCACCCTAGGATTGCTGGGGTAGATTACCGAGACCCTCGGCCGGTTGGATGGTTCGGCAGCTTACTCACCACGGCCAGAAGTGGAGGCCTCTGGTTGGCGACTACCGCTCGCCTCCCTAGGGGCGCCTAGACCCACATGGCGGTCGTCGCTATAGACAATAGACAACGGTACCGGAGCGGTCATTAGCCCCTTTCCGATGCCATGTATAGGGACGGAGCTGGGCCCTTCACCGAGTATCTCGACATCGGTATCACTTCCATCCTCGGCATCAGGCCCTGCCGCTTCAACATCGGAGTCAAAGAGACTTTCCCATGACTCCTCATCGAACGCGTTGGGCTCACGCTCGGAGAAAGACTCGCTATTGGACATCTACAAAAACAGGGAAGAAAGGAAACTAAGGCTCATGCCGGATACTATCCTACCGATCCCTACATCACTACCTATGGCGACTAGACTACCGAATGGAACCCTATGGTCAGTCTAGTTCAAACCAAGGAAGGACGTAACTCTTAAGGTATGTAAAAAGGGAAAAGTAGAGCTACCGAATGGTACCTTAGTTCAACTTCTGAAAATGGACGCGGACTCTGCCTCAGATCGTCTGGACACGAATCGCCCTTCCTACCGTTGGTAGTGCCGGAAATCGCCTGGTTGCCGTTAGCACACGTCGGAAATCGCCTGGAATACCGGAAGCTCTAGTCGGAAATCGCCTCAACAGAGCTCTCACTTTCTCACCAAGTCCAAAGTGATTTCGGACCCGGAGTCACCCCTATTTATAGGGCGAGCTAGCGAAACGGCATACCTCGAGAAGCCAAACGGCGCATTAATGCGCCGCGCACCATCATTGCTTCCACCACATGTCGCTCATCCTACGGAGGACTGACGGCACGCGGGGCGCGGAGGTCGAAGCGCTCAGATGTCCCTTCACCCGTCCGCTCGACGTGACCTTCTGACTTCGACAACGTCAGCCTCTGAACAAATAATGCCGGAAGGGCCAAAGTTGAGCCCTTTTCCTCAACAGGACTACCGAACGGTAGGATCACCTTTCCTTCTGAAGACGACTTCAAATCCCCTTCCGAGAACTCTCGCAAGAGGACTTGGGGGACTCCTGTTTATACCAAAATGAACGGCCAATGAATATCGAACATGTGGACTAAACCAGGGCCATGGGTGCCTTCGGCATCCACCTTCGGTATAAAACCCACCGATCGCAACATTAGGGCAACCTCGCCCCTTCGACACGTGGCAGTCCCACAACTGACGTCCAGAGTCCCACATCGAAACTCGAGACAAATTGCACACCTCCCAAGGCCTATAAAAGAGGACCACCATCCCAGCTTGGAGGTAATCAATCAGAACTCACGGCATACTGCCTATTGATCTGTAGTTCAACTTTACTAAAATCCGTACTTACTTAAGCATCGGAGAGCCTTTGGCCGGTACCACACGGGTGCCCTAGGACTTACCGTGTGTTTGCTATCTTACAGATTGGACACACTACCGAGGACATCAGATACCGAAGGAAACATAATCACTAAGTTACGCGGGAAAGTGCTGAACCATTTTTCTGCGTCAACAAGTCTCAATACCAGAAATGACTCATTTCAGCCCAAACAATTTATTTTCATCTATGTTACAATTTATATAATTTGTAAAAGTATAAATTAACTCCGATTTTCTTTAATTTTTTACTGCGGACGCAATGTAATGCAAATACAGAGTGTTAGATGCCATAGTGACTTATTACTAGTTTGTAGCAGAATGACCTTTGAACTGTAATTGAAAGCAGATCATGCCGATTCCCACAATTTACAAACAAAAAAGGGTCTTTAGAAGGGCATATATATAGGAAAGCTAATTCATAAGAGAAAAAAAAAATTACTATGAATTATATAGAATATGTTCTGACCTTAAACCA